CTTGATCTATTTCAGGGCATCCCTGAGGAGCTGACTTCGGTGGCCATTGAGGAATATTTAGGAGGAACAGAGGACCCTGTCAAAAAGAAAGACCTGTTCCTGGACTTGATTGGAGATGTCATATTTGGTGTCCGATCTGTGACCGTGGCCCGACGCCACAGAGGTGAGTCCCAGAGGTTGGACTGCAAAGGGACATCGGCCCCACCAGCCCCGGTATCTGACCTGCCCACCTCCCAGCATAGGCAGATGTGGACACTACTGAGGGTCAGGCCTCACAGGCAGGTTCCGTATGGCATGTCCTTTTGGGTTTCTGCCTGCAGCAGACTCTGAGAAAATGATCCAGGCGCATGCAGTTTATTTGTCAGGTAATGGTAGAAAACACCAGCAGGGAGGTGGAGAAGTGTCAGAGGGAAGAGATGGAAGACAATCCGTGACGCGTTGCCCAGCAAGTGTCCACTGTGCACAGCTGGAGCTGGGAGCTCTGGAAACAAGCAGAGGAAATGGCTCAGGGTTGTCCCCTCTGAGCAGGGGGAGCTGGGGTATTCATCCACCAGTTCTCAGTTGTCGTTGGTTGTTCCAAGGAGTTGTTAATTCCCTGGTATTTTGACGGACTGCACACAGGGGCTGAGTAGTCCCTGGAGGGCTGACAAAGGCCTCAGGCAAAGAGCTGGATGCTGGTGGTGGCCATCAGGCTGGCAGGCCCAGAAATAGGGCATGTGGGTGATGTGGGCGAGGCACCAACAGCATCTGCTACAAGGGCTTCCTACCTGGGGTGATGGTGGGATGTGGGGCTAGAGGACAAATATTGGAAGACGGGTCTCAGAAGGTTTCCAAGGTCAGAGCTGGCTGCAAACTAGTTTGTTAATTAGTGGAGCTGGGGGAACAGTGGGAGACAAGCACCGGATGAAGATGGCTGTCCAGGACCAAGAAGGCCAAACGGAGAGCGCACTAGCAGGTGTGCGTGGTCTGGAGAGTGTCAGTGTCTGCGGCCATGGGCTTTTGTCCATCCCGTGTGTGCTGGAATGGACAAGCAGAGGGCCAAGGTGGGGTCCACCCTGGAACCTTCTGACACCGACCGAGGCTGTGTGGGTGTGGTGTGAGGTAAGGATGCACAAAAGCTCACCTAGAGAGGGGTCCTCTTCTGGGTGCCGTTTGGGGATCCGCCCAGACTCGCCTTTTCCTACCAGCTCTCCTTTGCTAGTGTGCAAGCCAGCGAAGGGTTCTGTGGTCCAGACCACTCTCTCTCTTTTCACCAGGCTGGAAGCGTTTTAAAATTCAGGACGTTATAAGCTTGCTAAAACCTAGCTACAGCTGCCCTAGTACGTGCCCAGGCCCAGCTCC